TTTTTTTTTTTTTTTTTGTTAGACACTCAATTTGACCGCTTAATTATTGTATATATCCGTAAATTATTTTTTAAACTAAAATTTCTTGATATAACCTCTAAAATTTTTAAATTTGGACTTTAAATTGATTCTTCTATTAAAAAAATTATTAATGTATCTGTTATTTAATGATAAAAAATAATTATTTGATAATTACACGTTACATTAATAACAAGAAATATCAACTTTTTTATATAAAATAATTAATTCAAAGTCAAATTTAAAAATTTTAAAGACAAATTAAAGATTTGAAAACTTTAAGATCTATGTAATAGTTAAAATACCAAATTACGCACTTAATCTTTTTTTTAACCCCTTTTTTTATATTTTTTTAACCCTTTAGCTACATCCAAATATATTTTTTTATGATTATTTTTTTTGTTGTAGCTTTGTTAGTATGTAGAGTGCTAAATTTCAGTTGTCCTTTTGCCCCTGGCTAAAAAAACATAATTATATTCAATTAAATTGTGTCCCTCTTACTAAAATGGAGCAAAAAAACAAAAGATCAAGCATCTCAATGTATTGTTTGTTTAGATTGAGATTGAAAACATGTAATAGTATTTATTAAAACTATTTAGTTTTGTGTTTTAAAATTTTTGATCGTTTAAGAGATACCTTAATTATATAAATATTATATTCCTATTATAAAATTCAAGAGAAAAAAATTATGCATTTCAATAACAGAATATAGTCATTTTTAATAGAAAAATGTTGCAGTGCAAAGGACTGCACTTTACTTTCTATACTCAATATCATCATGCTTCAATTTTATCTCAAGTCCTGTTTCTTCCTTCTGAGGTTTTTTCTTTTCTTTCTTTTCAAGTTTATAAGAAGGGAAATGCTATTGGTACAACTTTTTTGTACAATTTGATATGTCATTAAAATGATTGGATATATTTAATATCACAGGTCTCACATAAATTAAAAGAACTAATCATTTTAATGATACATCAAATTATACAAAAATTATTTCCTTAAGAAGAAAGATGGTTAAGAAGAAAAAAAAATTGTTGGGCTGAGTTATGAGTCACAAGTTAGGCGACACAGAACTCCCTCCGCTTAGAAAGGCCCAGGCCACGAGGTCCACCAAGCATTTCTTCTCGGGCTTTCAAAGTCATTCAAATGGCTGGCAGAAGCAAAACCACAACTGACGCTGGTATAGACCCCCGACCTTGCTTGAGCGGGGCCCAACTTCAGCTCCAAATGGATCAGTCCAACACCCCAAAACAGGGGCCATCAGTGGGGACATAAAGGCTCATTATAAGGACGTACTAATGTCCTATTTGGACGATGTGGGACTCTAACCAAAAATCTTAACGACGTCATTTCGAACAAAAGCGCCTCTTTGTTCTTAAAAATTAAAAACCCCATTTTAGGGTCATCAAAGTCCGTTTTCGATCCTTTTAAATGATATTTCCATTTTACTCCTTAAAATTTATTTTTACAGCCCTTTTTTTAACCATTCCATTAAGGTTTTTTTTTTTTTTTTTTTTTTTTTTTTTTACGTAATGCGGTATTATTTTCCATTCAAACTATTAATGTGGATATTTCAATGCGTAAAAAATATTGAAGTAGATATATAAATTTAGCCCCTAATTCACTCTCTGCTCAAAACAAAAATTAAAGATTTGGGTCTTTTTTTATGAAATTTTAAAATGTTAATGTGGTAAATTTTTTATTAGAAAATCATTTTTTTAATTAAAAAAATTATATGTTACCATTCATATGGACAATTAAGTGGGACAATTTTAACATTCATTGTTTATTTAAATTATGAGTAATGAGACATGATAATCTTTTTATATAATTTTTACATATTATTAAATAAATATATTTATTTAATATTCTAAAATTTAACAAAGTGAAAAAATCAATACTTAAATGATATGTAAAATTTTATAAAAAAATTATCATTCAATTATTTTTCTTAAATTATCATAGAAAGTTTTTAATATGAAACAATTAATACTCCAAAAGGGAGTATGTACAGTAAGATAAATTTATTGATACGTGGGTGAAGTTTACTTTTATCAATGTGACTCGTACTTTTAACTAATCAATCAAATAACAACTAACATTAATTACAGTATCAAAATTTTCTTAAGCAAGCTATGTACAAGTAAGTGAAAGTTAAATAATTGATGTGATATACAATAAAATGTTTTTCAACATTGAAAATAATTTTCAATTGGAACAACGATGTAAGTGAAAACTATAATTATTACATCAGTACATTTTTTCAACATCTCTGTTCATTTCAATATATGTCACATCATAAAATCTTAAAGACACCAAAATATTACATGTAGAAAGTTATTTGATGAGTTTAATTTTTATATGTATTTATTTATCTTTTTTGAGCCTAGAATTAAATTTTATGGGTCTTTTGTAACTTAGTTTCACCTTTTTTATATTAAATTCATTATTTGTAGGTGAAAATTAAGATATGAATTAATTTTACAATAAGTGACAATTTGCACATACTACAGTAATTTAACCATATCTTTTTCTCTAGGTATCGGATTGAGTTGATTCTTCAGGCGTTGAAAAGCTAAGAAGCAGAGCTACAATTGATGTTTTATGAGCTCAACCCAATTCCTTCTGTATCAATACAGAATTTAAGTTGAAAGTGACGGTTTTAACTATAGACAGTGCAGAAATAAAGAGGCGGGCTATGTTTTTTTTAAGAGTGGGCCAACTGCAGTTCAGGCCCAAACCAAAGCCCAATTCCCATGTCTGCTAGGGTTAAGGGGTTTCTAATTTCTGGGAGATATATATAGAGCCACACAGACGGGAAAGGGGAGGAAGTTGTTCTGCGCAAGGTCAAGAGCACCCAGCCGCCCAAAATCCCAGCACCCGCCTCTGTTGTTCACCAGCAGCAGAAGAGGACAGCCGCCGCCCAGCCTTGCTCTTCTCCGCCCAGCCACGCTGTCGCCCAGCTTTCTTGGGAGATCCCGACCACAGCACATCATTCGGCAAACTGCAATTCTCCGTTTGGGTTTTGTTGTTTCTGATTTCTTTTTATTATGATTTTCTGTTGGGATTTATTTTTCATGGCTGTTGAGAACATAAACATGTGTGACTAGGTTCCTTTGAACTAGGGATGGGTGGATTTTAATTTTTGAAGTATGTGACTGTTTTTGTTAGTTTAATTCAAGATTTATTGGTTATTTGCATGATGAGTTTATATTATTGAACTTAATGCATTGAGAGTTTGATCACCTTTCAATTGATTTAATGATTTATACATGAACTTGAGAAAGAATTGTGTAAATTAGACCAATAATAATATAAACCGGGTGTTAGACTATGAGACGAGAGGTAATTAGCTCACATGTGATAGTGGAGAGGTAATTAGCTCACATGTGAAGAGAGTTAGTAGCTCCCTTCTTAAGCTAGAGATTTTCATAGAATTTAATGCTCATTAGTTTAATTTAGCAAACAAATGAAGGATTAGCTTGACTTGAGAAAGCTGGTTAATTAATTTAGGAAAACCCGTCATCTCATGCAATAACACTATTATTTAAACTTGAATTAAATTAATGAAATAGTTGTATAATTCAGAATTAAATGAAATCCAAATCCTAGTTCCTTCTCATTCATAGTAAAATTTTTTAGTTTAATTTTTTTTAGTCGACTTAGTTTTTTTTTAAATAGCTTAGTTTTCCCCATTAATTGGTTAATTCAACTTAAGTTAGATTAATAGGGTCTTGGTAGTGTAGGATAGTCCTCGAGGGAACGATATCTTACTCATCTTATATTACATAATCGATTAGGTTCACTTGCGTATTTGGTGCATCATTATTCAATATCGTTGATAAATAAAACCTATATATATATATATATTCATCAAAAATTAAAAACTGTA